TCGAGGCGAAGCACCCGCAGGACCTCCGACAGACGCAGTACCCCTAGGCTCAGCACCCCCAGGCTCCGCACCCTCAGGCTCAGTACCCCCAGGCTCCGCACCCCCAGGCTCAGCACCCCCAAACTCCGCACCCTCAGACTCAGCACCCCCAGGATCCGCACCCTCAGGCTCCGCACTCGCGGGCTCAGCACCCCCAGACACAGTACCCACAGACACAGCACCCCCAGAGGCAGCACCTCTAGCAGCACCTGAGTCTACACCGACCTTCACTGGCACAGTCCCGGAGAGTGGGTCTACCTGAGACACACCTGAGGGAGCAGGACCCTGAGGGGGGAGGGGGTCTACCGGAGGGGGACCTGGAGCAAGGAAGAGCAGCGGGGGGGGAAGAGACAGTAAAAGGGAACCGACTCGTCAAACGTGACGTCCTGAGAGGGGAGGACACGGCGCAAGGTGGGGTGGTAAAACTGCCAGCCAGGCGCGTCAGGGGGAAAGCCAAGGAAGACGCAGGGAATAGCGCGGGAAAAGAGCTTGTTCGCGGAAGTATCGTGGACAAAGGCACAAGAGCCCTAGACCCGGAACACCGACGCATCACCAACCTTCCCCGTCCAACGCAGTGTAGGCGAGGTCTCCGGAAAGGAGACACGGGGCCAGAGGTTGAGCTGATGCGCCACCTACCGGACCGCAAACGGCCACAGAAAATGGGGAGCAGCCGCATGGATCATGGAGGTATGAGCCACCTCCATGACTAAGCCAATGCGGCGTTCAGCAACCCCATTTTTATGCGGGGAGGTCGGAAGCGTGAATGAATTGAGAATGCCCTCCCCACGACAAAGTCCCGCAAGAGGTCGGAGGAGAACTCACCACCTTTGTCAGAGTGTAGACGTAGGACAGGAAGGTCCTGGTGGAACCGCTCGCGGAGCTGGAGACTGACTGCACGGATCCAAGGGATCAAGACAGCAGGGACCTCACCCTTGCTGCGCAAGGGGAAGACCGTGGTGTAACGCGTGTAGTCGTCAACAACCAGCAGGAATTAGCGCTCGAGGCCTTGTCCACTGACGCGGGCTGGGCCCCACACGTCCATGTGGAGAGTCTGCAGGGGAGCAGTCGTCGGGGGAAACGAGGAAGAGTGAGGAGCGGCGCGCTGCCGCCCCTCAACGCAAGGAAGACAAGGCGGGGCAGGCGAGGGCGGGAGGGGAGGCAGAGACCTGGGAAGACCAGAAACAAGGAGGCGGGAGTGCATGCCACAAAGGCGTGGCAGGGAGGGGTGACCAAGGCAGTGGTGCCACAGGAGAGTCTGGTGCGACAGGAGGCAACACGATCAGGGGGCTGCTATCGGACCTGACGCGGACACCTTGGCAGACGCAGCTACCTGAGGAGGCTCAGTAGTCACTGTGTATAGACTCGGCCCAGGCCGATGGGTGAACGTGGCCAAGTGACGACCCGAACGTATACATATGCAGATCGGCAGTGACCATCACATCCTAGAGGGCAGCGGTACTCACCAATTTCGTAGAGAACGAGGGGAGGTGAAGACCTGAGAGTGAGCCGGACAGAACCGCCGGACACGGGAGAACAGTGGAGGAACGGGCAAGAACTGGGCCTCCTGAAGGGTCAGCCAGTCTGACCGGAACAGGTGCAGGGAGTGGAGTGAGGGTGGTACTGTCGCGAAAGAAACAGCGGGAAGCACCTGAGTCAAGTGTGAAGGTGTGCAAGGCCTCAGCACGCGCAGTACCAGGGAGAGCAGACTCACTAGCACCTAGAGCAGCAGCCTCTATATGTGGGTCGGGCGGCACATACAGGTAACAATCACTGTCAGCACTAATAGACAAGGCATACATGGCAGCATGGATAGCATCATAGTCAAGGGCAAAGATAGCAACTCCAGACCTAAGCAGCTCTAGCCAGCGGTGGAGCTCAGCCTCGTCGCCAAACTCTGCGCACCAAGCGTCGTCAAGGCGGGAGAAGCAGCGGTGCTGAGTGTGAAGCTTCCCGCATGTCTGACCAGCGCGGTCACCAGTGCGAATGACATACGGGCAACGAACACTACTCCCAGACGCCCCACGCGGAGCAAACCACTCACGAAGCTGCTGAGGCGTAGGGGTCTTGCCCCGACGCTGCTGCTGCTACCTCTGGCCACCGCCAGAACCTCCCCTCTAAACAGCTCCACCCCGACCGCCACCATTGCCGCCGCCACTACTCCCACTGCCGCCACCACCGCCACCCTCACCCCCACCGCTGCCACCACCGCCGCCACCGAAGCCCCCACTCCCGCCACCACTCCCACCACTACCACTACCTCCACCACCTCCACCGCCTCCACTGCCTCCACCACCACCACCCCCGCCCACCACCACTCTTGCCACCCTTGCACTTGCTGCTGTGGCGCTTCCCACTAAGAGCAGAAGAAGCCCCGACATTCTCAGCACCAAGGATGTCAACAACAGTAGCAGAAGCGTAGGAGGGGGCAACGGGGGAGGGGGGACACCCCTCAAAGAAGGGTGTGCGAGGATTGCCACGAGCAGCACCTACAGCGACTACAATTGTCTTAGCTGCAAGGAGGTGCTTCTCGAGCATGTCAACAGTGAGGTCTGTGGGGTCAAGAACGAGAAAGTGGTCCCTGACTGCGCGAAGAGAGTCAGGGAGAGCGGTAGTGAGCGTTGCTAGTGCGAAGGTGGGTAACCAGGTCCTCGACTGTGGCAAAGGCTGACAACTCAAGAAACAGGTAGGGCAGTATAAGGCGGCCGAGAGCAGCAGTGATAGGGGAGGAGTAACGAGCGACTACAGCGTTGTACAAGGCCTTAGCAGTCTTGTGCAAGCCAAAGTGAGCGCGTTCGGCTAACGGCAGGTGGTTGCGAACGGCTAAGCTAGCAGCAGCGTCACGGGTAAGCCACTATGAGCGAGTCGCACTGTCAGCTGTGGCGGGAGGGGCGAGAGAGGCTCCAGACGTGTGGTCAAACAACGAAACGCTGTCTCTAGAGTCGCTCAGTAGGTACAGCTGTAAGTCGTCGATCCACGTATCGAACTGGATCGAACGGCCCTCATGATCGAAGGTGAGTACACTGAGAGAAGCCATAGCGGGCAGAGCAGGGCGGCGCGCGACCAGCAGGGCAGCACGCATGCAGGGCGGCGCGTGAGCACTAGGGAGGCGCGCAGGGCAGGGAGAGGCGGCGCACGGCTAGGGAAGAGTGGCGCGCAGCCAGGGCAGGGCAGGGCGGCGGCCTGTAGGGCGGCGCGGGCAGCGGTGCGGCTGCCAGCAGGGCGCTGGCCAGCAGTGCTGCGCGCAGCAGGGCGGGCAGCAGCAGGGCGGCGCGCAGCAAGGCGGTGCAGGCAGCAGGGCGGCTCAGCGCGGGCAGGGCAGGGCAACGCGCAGGCAGCAATGCGGCGCGCGGGCAGCAGGGCGACGCGACGGCCAGCAGGGCGACGCGTTTGACATGGCAGGGCGACGCGACAGCAGGCAGTGCAACGCGACAGGCAGGGCAGGGCGACGCGACAAGTGGGATAGCGCTCTGTGGTGGGCCCTAAAATATCGGTCCTAGAAGATCTGCACTCCCTCGACTTCTCCACAACTTTCCTGCAGGGAAGCCTTCACGAGGAGATCTGGCTGCACCGCCCACCCGGCTTCACTGGGTCGATTCCTGCGGGTACCGAGTGGAGCCTCCGGCGGCCAGTCTACGGTCTCCGCCAGGCGCCCCGTGAGTGGCACGACACGCTCAGGACGACTCTTGCTTCTCTTGGTTTTGCTCCTTCCACTGCTGACCCTTCTCTGTTTCTACGCACTGACGCTACTCTGCCGCCGTTCTACGTTCTCGTGTACGTAGACGACCTCGTCTTTGCTACTGCTGACACGGAGGCACTCGCCCACGTGAAGTCCGAGCTGCAGAAGAGACACACGTGCACAGACCTGGGTGAGCTGACAAGTTATCTTGGCTTGCGGATCACCCGGGACACAGCACAGCGCACCATTACCTTGACTCAGTCACACATGGTGCAGCAGGTCCTTCAGCGCTTTGGCTTCACGTACTCCTCGCCACAGTCCACTCCTCTGCCTACCGGTCACTCGCTCTCAGCTCCACCTTCGGACGAGTCCGTAGAGCCGAGTGGCCCGTATCCAGAGCTTGTGGGCTGCCTCATGTACCGTATGGCCCCGGATAGTAGTGCACGTGCGCTTACAATAAAATCGATTTTTTGAAGGGAGGCGCTTCTGAATGAGTTTTGGGCATAAGCGCCGGCGCTTATATAATGACAAATACAAATATATATATTTAGAGCACCAGATTGTACATTTTATTCTTGCCATTTCAACCGAGGCGAAATGTTTTAGCGTCACAAAGCAGAATCGCGCGCAAGCGAGATTCTGCCAACACACAGAGGCAAAGACACATCATGCCACTGGACGCGCAGCCAGTCAGGTCTTCGCGAGTCAAACGAAGCGAAATTGAAAAAAGACTCGCTGCAGAAAGTAATATCGTTACCATTTTAAACATGATTTCAAATTAAAACTGTATGTGCGCTTATAATAAGTAAAGGGTTTACAGGGGGGGCGCTTATAATCGAGTTTCGGCCATAAGCGCCATGCTCCAGATATAAGCGCCGGCGCCTTTAATCGGACGGCGCCTATATCCGGGGCCATACGGTACCTGTACATCCTGCCCTAGCATGTGCATCCTGCCCTAGCATGTGCATCCTGAGCAAAGCACCGTCCCACCACGTGGAGTGAATCAAATCCTGTGCTCACTGAATCCAGGTGACACGGCAATCCTAGGCTTGAGTCTCTACCGGTCGGTAAGCAATCCACCACACCACACATTCAAGTGAACCTCCATAAACACACTGAGTCTCATCTCAATCAGTTGCACAAGCTAGTTGCAAACGCAGTACATTCAATACGGTATGCAATGCAAGACTTCAAGTTGGTACAGCAGTGCACACCCACACCCACAACTGAGCTCCAAAATCCACATCGTCAATACGTTAGCAAGACACCAAATCGCCTCTCAACCTCAATGGTCCCCCCAGCCACTGCCATAGCCCCGTCTCCCCCCGCCTGCCTTGTCATCATACCCTCGCGATCCTCCTCCCCCCCCATCCCCCCCATACCCTCCCCCATAGCTCCCCCCTCCCCCCCCATACCCACCGCCATCGCCACCATACCCCCCACCACCCCCACCATACCCACCCCCGCTGCTGCTCCTGCTGTACCCACCCCCGCCTCCGCTGTACCCGCCGCTGCTGCCGAAGCTGGAGGATCGGCCCTGGGGGCACTCGCGTGCGAAGTGCCCCTCCTCCCCACAGTTGTAGCACCCGCCTCCCCCGCCCCCCCGCCCCCCTCCGCCCCCCCTGCTGCCGTACCCCCCTGAGCGCGAACCTGCGCCCCCAGGGGCGTTGGGGCACTCGCGGGAGAAGTGACCCAACTGGGCAGGGGAGGGGGGGAGGGGGAGGGGTGGTGGGGGTAGGAGGGAGAGCGAGGGAAAGGGGGGGAGGGGGGGGGGGGGGGTGAGGGGGGGGCGTGACAGTTGAGTGTTTAAGGGGGGCTGGGTTTAGGGCACAATGGTTGGGAGCGCAAGGAGTGAGGGCACTAGGGGCGTGTGGTGCAGAGCAGTGATGGCATGGCACGGGTGGGGCATACAGCCGGGGCGAGTAGCGTGGGTGGGGGCCATGGGTTGGGGCGAGGACGAGTGTGGGGGAAGGACAAGGAATGGAGCAGCGAGGTGGCAGCAGGGATGGGGTGAAGAGGCGAACGCAGTGGTGGTGCCATGGCAAGGGGTAAGGGTACGGCATAAGTGGGCTGAGGCCACGCCATGAGAGCAGAGGGCGCAGCTGCAAGGGGGAAGAGAGAGTGCAGGGGGGAAGAGAGAGCGCAGGGGGGAGGAGAGAGCGCAGGCGCCGAGGGTGCCACAGCGCTCCAGTGAGTCTCAACAGGATTTAGAATTCGGCAGCACCAGTGAAAACAGGATAATAGCCAGCTCACAGCATCCCTCAGCTCACAGCAGCCCACCACCTCACAGCACCCCTCAGCTCACCTCGCCACAGTTGTAGCACGCGCCTCCGCCTCCGCCGCCTCCTCTCCGCCCTCCTCCCCCGCCCCACGCATCCCCATAGCTCCCCGCGCCCCCATGCTCCCCCCCCTGCCCCTCCCTCCCCCGCCTCCCCCCAAAGCCCCCCCCGTATGACTCCGGGGCAGCGTGCGCATGCCCCCCTCCCCCTGCTCCTCCCCCCGCCCCTCCCCGCTCCGCTCCGCGCCTGACCCCCCCTCCCCCTCCGGCTGATTGCTTCTCCAGCGCCATTTTCTGCGCGGCGAGAGGGGGAGGGGGGTTCCGGGGAGAGCGAGGAGGCAAAGGAAAAGCGGACAGAGGGGCGGGGAGGATGGCCGGGAGCGGAGAGAGGGGGGGAAGCGCAATGAGGAGCGCAGCGGCACGGGGCATGGTGGCGTGGTGATGCGGCGAGGTGAGTACTTCTTGTGGGCGGAGATAGAGGTGGGGGAAAGAAAACAGGGCAGTGGAGAGGGGAGGGGAGGGAGGGAGGAAGGAAGGGAAAAAGGGAGGGAGGAAAAGAAGGGAGGAAGGGAGGAGGTAGAGAGGGAGGGCGGGAGGGGAGAGAGGGAAGCAAGCGGGTGTCGCTGCAAATGGGGATGCCTCAAAATACCACAAAACCTCTCACCTCTCACTCCTCACGACGCGAGCGAGGGGGGGGGGGAGGGAGCGAGGGAGGAGGGGAGAAAAGGGAGAGACGAGACCTCCAACAGCGCCACACCTCGCACCTCCAACAGCGCCACACCTCGCACCTCCAACGACGCAAGCAGCTCACCGCCAAACCTCTGTTGGAGCTTTAAAGTATTCTCAAAAGCACCGCCACACCTCTCGCCTCTCACCTCGAACGACGCGAGCAGGTCCTGCAGCGTGCCCTCGCGCGCCTTCACCTCGCCCTCCAGCTCCGCGCGCCGCGCCTCCTCGCCCGCCGGCGCGCGCGCCAGCTCGTCCCGCGCGAACGCCAGCTCCGCCTCCGCCGCCTTCTGCTCCTCCTTCTGCGCCTCCGACAGCACCACCTGGGGGGAGGGGAGGAGGGGAGGGGAGGAACAGGGGAAAGGGGAGAAAGGCGGGGAAAGGTGGGGTGCGGGGAAGGGGAAGGGGTGTGGGTGCGGGTGAGTGGGGAGGCGAGGAGAGAGGTGCGGCATGGATCCCCGGCAGAAGGGACGACGCGCTCCCCGAGCAACGCTCCTCCTCGCCGTCTCGCTCTCATTCCCCCTCTTTTCAACGCTGTACCCCATATCTTCCTTTCACGTTCCACTTTCCGTCACTCCCTCATTCCCCCGTGCTCGATGTAACAAGTTTTTTCGAGGTTCGTTTTTCATCAACCGTGACTTGCATCGGTAGGGAACTTGTGTGCAACGAGCAAACCGAGCCTCATTTAAAACTGCAACTCCTACGAGTCTTGGATCACGTCGAGCTATAACTAGTCCGTCAGCATGCGCGCGCTCACTGTGGGGCGCAAACTAGTCTCCGAGCGCCTCAAGACGCAACTCAGCGTGGGGCGAATCAAGACGCGACTCACCGTGGGGCGCCACTCTTTGGACGCGAGCTCGCGCAGCAGGTCCGCCTCCGTGACGCCCTTGCGCTCCGCTATCACCTGCTCGCGCGGCCGCGCCGCCCCGAACGGATTCGGCTGCCGCACGCGCGGGGAGGAGCACGGGGAAGAGGAGGGGGGAAGGGGGGAGGGGGAACACAGGAAGCATACGGTGGGGAGGACGCGGAGAGATGGAAGGGGGCAACGACGAATAGGCGACGGCGAGACGGATGTCGATGGTGAGCGGAAAGTTAACGGCGACGGATGAAGGAAGAAAGGCGACCGCAGCCCGCGGAGAGACTGCTACGGGGAGAGCGCGCGGGCGAGAGGGAGAAGGCGGGAGCGAGAAGGCGGGAGCGAGTGGGCGAGAGCGGGAGCGAGGGGTCACCTTAGAAGGGCGTGCCGCGGCGGTGGCCCCGGGCGACGACAGCGCTTGCGAAGAGGACGACGCGGTCGACGGCGGCTGCACGCTCACGCCGGGCCGCTCCCCGCCGCTGACGTCAGCGCCATCCCTGCCTGCCTGCCCTGCCATATCCCCGTGAGAAACTTCCCTCGCTAACCGACAGAATCCTTCGAATCAACGAGATGGATAGTTGAAGTATGTTGGTTAAAAGGAAACTAGGAAGCAAAACTGCGTTCGAACAGAAGTCAAACTAACGGAATGGGAAAGAAACCTTGGAAGTGAGAAAAGCAGTGAGGACTTTCGCTGGAATTGCGTGGGCCAGCCGTAATTGCGTGGAGTTCATGCTTCGTGGCTCAGGACGATAATACACGGTGGAAAGCGGTTCCCGAGGCTCAAGAGAGGCTTCTCTGAGTCCAGTCAGGGATGTGAGACTCGGGTTCGGAGACTCGAAAAAAAATCACCAATCTCGATACGCACGCTGCACGCATGCTGGTTTGGGGTTGGCTGAGCTTTTCGCAGGTCCGTGCGGGGACACACTGCCACCGCAGGCCGGTTTAGCCACGCTGGCTGAAGTTCGCAGCGTGATTGATTATAATAATTTGCTGACGCGGACAGTTGCCCTGCTGGAAGGTGAGACGGAAGGGAGTAGATCTAGGGTCCCACCCACCCACCCACAACAAATATCTGGAGGAGAACATCGTAAATTATTTTCACAAGCAAACCTATATATTATTAAGTTAAGTGTTGTGCATTTTAAGGTATAACGTTTGCTTGTTGCCAGCTTCGCTAACTTCGCCAGTGTTACCGTGCGACGCAAATTGCACGTTCCAAACTTATTTTGGGAATTCAAGCCACGACGTGGAAAGTCGATTCCACAATCGAACGTACGCTCGCACGTGCATTCGAACTTGGTCACCTTCGGCCACGTTTGAAAGTTGCACGAAATCAGCGAAGCGTGGCGACGTCCTGTTACTATCCAAAAAGGACTTAGCCAGGGATCGGCTCAGAGTTTTTCGCATGTAGTTTGTTGCAGCGGATGTGTTGACCCTAGGTCAGTGTCAGGCCCTCAGATTCGTTTTTGGCCTGTCTAATTCGTCAGTCTTGTGATGTAGTTTTAGGCTGATTGATCAGACTTGGAAAAAAATAAAAAGCTGAAATTTCAGTGTACTGCCACCAGAAAAGGCTGAACAATCAGAGTTACAAAAAAAAATAGGCTGATTGTGTTGATAACTGGTATTACTGTAGCTGTGGATCTTGGTCTAGGCCCTATTTTCCTGCAACATAGTATATATATAGAATAGAACCTTCAATAATATAAGCACAACATTTCGAGCAGTCTCATCATTAGCATCATCATCACTAGCATCATCAAATACATCATCTATGTCTACCATCTCTGCATCTGCTGACTGCTCCTTTCCCTTCCTGCTCTGCTGCTGTCCTGCAAAGATAGGGGCATTGCTGTGGGGCTTGTGCTTCTTGTAGCTCCTCCAAATGTCAACAATCTCATCCCAGTTTGGCTCGTAGCTCATTAGGCTCATGCACGTGAGGTCGCCCAGCCTTGCATCCTTCAGTGAAGCCCGCTGCCATGACTTGATTATGTTCTACCTGGAGAAGCCGCGCTCGCACTCAACAGTGCTGAGCGGGAGAACTGCAACGGCCACCCACAGCTGCACCAGGTTGGGGTAGTTATCCCGCCAGTCTGGTGTCTTCAGCATAGCTGTGAGGCCAGCATGGAAACTTCGCTCGGTCTTGTGGGCTGACGCAAGCACGGATGTGAACATCCGCAGCTCCTTCACAGCGCGGCGCTTGTTGATACCTGCCGGGGGGGGAGGGGAGGGGGGCGGGGGATTCATATATGAGGTTAATTGGAGTACGGTCACGGACGTATATAAAGAGGGAGCAGAGGATAACACCGTGCAATCAATTACGTCATCAGTGCTTGAACGCTAGTTACATCATTAACTGGCTTACCTGGCAAGATGTCGTCGTTCATCTCAGCCTTGAACAGCGTGATCAAGGACTCCAGCCACTCGACACACCGCGCGTGACGCTCGCCACGGTCCAGAGGCCAAGCGTCAGGCGTGAACAGTCTCGACCCTGACAGCGACTCCAAGTCGCCTAACCTTCCGTGGATGTTGCTGACGATCATCTCTGCGAACGCCGTACAAACGTCGACGCATCCGTCGTGACTTCCACGCCCGCCGAACTCCTCCATTGGGTCCTCGTGAAGCACGAACGAGAACTCCGTCGGCCTTCCGTCCGAGTCGATGCCGGCAACTGTCATCTCCCTCGTCCTTCCCGGCCCATGTTGCGTCAGGAATGGAGAGAGCCGCTCGCTCATGCCTCCACCGAAGTCGTCTCCACAGTCGACGTAGCGGCTCTCGATGTGGAAGGTAGTCTGCTTGATCTGTGCATGGAGAGAAGCATAATCAAGCTGGAGAGACGGGATATAGTGTCAAACTTATATGCTATAGTCTGTTTAGGCTGTAGTGGGGTAGTTCTTATAGGGTACAACACTTTTAGGTTTCCTACTTGTACCCACCTGCTTTCTAGTTCAGTCATTCATTCGTTCACATTCTAACATGGTATTGAGAGCAGGATCCCTAGTGGGAACGTTTTTTTAAAGGGCCCACCACAACATTTTTTTTTTCCTGCCCTGCCCGAAGCGCGCATCGCGCCCTGCCCGAAGCGCGCCCTGCTCGAAGCGCGCCTGGCGCCCTGCCCTAGTCCGGCCCGTAGCGGCCCTGCCTTCTCTGGCCCGTCGCGGCCCTACCTTAGACGCCCGTCGCGGCCCCTTTGCCGCCCGTCGCGGCCCCTTTGCCGCCTGTCGTGGCCCCTTTGCTGCCCGTCGCGGCCTGTTTGCCGTCCGTCGCGGCCCCTTTGCCGCCCGTCGCGGCCTGTTCGCCGCCCGTCGCGGCCCCTGCCCAGCAGCCGCCCTGTCGCGGCCACTACCCCGCACTTTGCCGCCGTCGCGGCCACTGCCCTACTGCCGCCCCAGTCGCAGCCCTACCTTAGCCGCTGTCGCGGCCCTGCCCTGCTGCCGCCCCAGTCGCGGCCCTGCCTTAGCCGCTGTCGTGGCCTCTGCCCTGCAGCCGCCCCTGTCGCGGCCCTGCTCTGCTGCCGCCCCTGTCGCGGCCCTGCCCTGCGGCCGCCCACTGTCGCGGCCCTGCCTTCGCTGCCCGTCGCGGCCCCTACCCTGCAGCCGCCCTCTGTCGCGACCCTGCCCTGCAGCTGCCCCTGTCGCGGCCCTGCCCTGCCCCGCCCCCGGTAAGCACCTACGCTGTCCTACCGCGCCGCGCCGCCTGCTTCCGCGCCACGCTGCCAGGCACCAGCCACGCCGCCCTGCCGAGCCGCGCCGCCCAGCCGAGCCGCGCCGCCTTTGTCGAGCCGCGCCGCCCAGCCGAGCCGCACCGCCCTGCCGAGCCGCACTGCCCTTCTGCTTGCCCTGCCTCTGCTGCCACTGTTGCTACTGCTGTTACTGCTGCTCCCGCTGCTACTGCTGCTATGGCTAGCCCTACTGTTCTCACCTTTGATGCTGAGGGGCGTGCAGTTGACTTTGACGTGTGGGTTGACGACCTGCAGCTCTTTCTTCAGTGTGACTCTAGGGATGGGGTGTCCCTTTTCGATCACACGTCCGGTGTCTCTACTGCTCCTGCTGCCACTGCTGACAGTACGGTTCGCTAGCAGTGGACCACTCGTGACACTGTTGCTCGTCTTGCTGTTCGTAGTCACCTGCCGCCTGCTGAGCGCGTGCATTTTGGCCAGTACAAGACTGCTCAATCTTTGTACGACGCTGTAGTTGCGCGCTACTCCTCCCCTGCCACTGCTGCCCTCAGCCGCCTCATGCTGCCGTACCTTTTCCGTGACCTTGCCGCCTTTGCCACAGTCGCTAACCTCATTGCTCACCTCCGCACTGGTGACGCCCGCTACCGCGCTACCCTTCCCACTGAGTTCTGTGCCTAGAACCCCCCCCCCCCATGTACATCACACTTTACTACCTAGTCACCCGCCTCCCTGACTCCCTTTCTTCAGTCAGGGACCACTTTCTCTCCCTTTGCCCCACCGAGCTCACTGTCGACCTGCTAGAGGAGCGCCTCGCTACAGCTGAGAAGAGTATCTTAGCTGTAGGTGCTTCTCGCGGTGACCGTCGCACCCCTTTCTTTGAGGGGTGTTCCCATGTTCCCCTTCTCCCCTCTGTTGCTTCTGCTGCTGCTGTCGACCTCGTTGGCACTGAGGAGGTCGGAGCTGCGTCTGCCCCTAGTGGGAGGTGCCGCAACAGCAACGGCAAGGGGAGCAAGGGTGGTGGAGGGGACGGCGAGGGCGGCGGCGGAGGCAGTGGAGGAGGCGGAGGGGGTGGCGGTGGAGGTGGGGGTGGTGCCGGGAGTGGGGGCTTCAGTGGCGGCGGTGGAGGTGGTGTAGGCAGCGGCGGAGGTGGTGGAGGCAGCGGCAGCGGTGGTGGAGGCAGCGGCAGCGGTGGTGGAGGTGGCCGCGGCGGTGGTGCTGGTCGAGGTGCAGCCGCGCAGCGTGGAGGCTTTGGTGGTAGTCAGCGCGAGCAGCAGCCGCGTTCCCGTGAGACCCCGTCGGCCCAGCAGTTTCGTGAGTGGTACGCTGGGCGTGGGAGGTATGGGGGTGCTGGTCCCTGCACTTACGTTCTTCGCACCGGCAGTCGTCGTGGGGAGACGTGTGGGCTGCCACACACTGCGCAGCGCTGCTTCGGTCGCATGACTGACGCTTGGCGTGCCCAGTTTCCTGACGCTGTTGAGCTCCCTCGCTGGCATGATCTGCTTAGGCAGAATGTGGCTATCTTTGATCTTGATTTCGATGCTATCCTTGCTGCCATGTATGCTTTGACTTATAGTGCTGAGGGTGACTGTTACCTGAGTGTCCCGCCCGACCCGGGCATTGAGGCTGCTGCTCTAGGTGCTAGTGCGTCTGCTGCTCCAGGTACTGGTGAGTTTGCTGCTCCAGGTGCTGGTGAGTCTGCTCTCTCTGGTACTGCACCTACAAAGGCCTTGCACAATTTCACACTTGACTCTAGTGCTTCGCGCTCTTTCTTTAGAGACAGCACCACACTCACGCCGCTCAGTCGGTCTGTCGCAGTCTCCCTGGCTGACCCCTTTGGGGGC